GGCATTTTTCGTGAAAATCTCTCGGCTGCATATAGTGCGCATTTAGTGCCTTGCGTTGAACAGAGTTTTACCAAAATCGCAAAGATCCAATGCGAGAAATTCAGCGGTTTCCAAATTTAGGTCATAATTTATGTGAAAATGATAAGGAAACTTTACACGATTATATTTAATAAACTATGAGATTTATCCCTTTATTTTTGGGATCTTCATAACAGATGGGTCCTTGCAAGTCAGCAAAAAACTTTACGGCCTTGTAAATGCGCGCGATTTCGAGCAATGCAAACATTTAGAAATTATAGTTTTAGCTATTTGTTGACGTTTGTCAGCGTTTTAGAGTCCTCCTCACGGAAAAAGCATTTTCTTAAAAATTCGTAGTTTTTTTTCCTTCAAATTTTTTCAGGGCCACAATTGATTAACTAAGTACCCGGACTCTGAATTTCATGGTCATTGAAAACTGACACATTATCTTCTATAAGCCCAAACTTGAGTAAACATTGAAGATGTTTAGCGTTTTGGCTGAGTTTGTGCTTTGGAAGTTTTCTATTGTTTCTTGTCTGTCAAGATACAGCATTCTTGTTCAGCACGCGTGCAATGACCCCGCTTGACTGACTTCCGAATGCTCACCGAGATGATAATTTAGTATGAGAAAATAGAAGGGTTCCCTTCACGTAACGTGTCCAGCTAGCTGAGTGTATACGTCATGCCGAGAATTAAAAACTCTAAAAAGTAAATGGCCGGGGTGTTAAATGCTATTCGGGCGAGAGAGGAAGTTCACGGAGAAGAGATTGTGTAGCATTTCTTGATTTTTTTTTTTTTTGCAAAGGCACAAGAAGAACGAGAATTGATTAAAAATCATGAGTTAAACCTCTACGTATCACGCGATCGTCTGTCTCACGGTACCAAAATTATCATATCTCGGTGAACATTCGGAAGTCAGCCAAGCGCGGTCAGACCCCAAAGAGGCGTGGCACTATAACCACGTGACATTTACTCCGATTGCCAAAAGAAGACAGAATGACCTCAGCAAACCTTTGAAAGATGAACGCCGAGGACACACGAAACACCAAGTGAGTTAGCTAGTGAACGTGAGACAAAACGTAAGCAAGCACTTCAAAGTGAGGCAAATGTGTGTCGAAGACTACGAAAATAACCTCCCTTTTTAATTGCACAGGACACCCAATAAGGCACAGAATACCCAACGCAAATTAGGGGTTGCGTTCGAGATTACCTCGGACGCCATTAGTAATTATTTAATCGTTTTTCTCTCTTATAATTATTCTGTCAAATTAATTTACAATCTCAGCAATGTTGACCGTATGCTAAGGTGTATATTTATTTAAACTGATAAATAAATAAATATTACATTTAAATAAAACTTTGGGATTTACTAAATTAAATCTTCCTGTATCCCTTATATGAAGTATAAAGTAGGTACGTTTATGCCTTTCCTTCCCTTTTTTTTGGCTCTGTTTATTTCCTAAACGGTATTTATTTTAGTGGATTTAAAGTTCCATGTGAAGTGTCACAGTTTACAGCATACTCGGTCACCGAATTCGCTCTTCATCCAGTTCCTCTTTCTCTTTTTCCTTTTCTTGAGCTTTCAGGCTTTCGTAAAACATTTCGAAGGAGTCCAGAGGTTTGAAGATGTCCATGTAACTTGCGTGCATCTCATCTGGAGTAAGTTTTATAGCATTTTCAGTCACCACGCGAGGATCACTCAAGAACTTGGTGGCAAGTTCGTTGTTAAAGAAACCATCACAGGGCATGCCGTGGTTGCGTCTCTCTCTTGTATCCCTTGGCAGCGCTTGATGTTGCTGTGTGTTAGCAGAACGATCACCTCGACTTGATGACTGCTCTTTGGGCGTTCTTTGTTGAGGAAGACTTTTCTCCTTTGTGGCCATAATATCTAGATCTCACAGAACGCTACCTCTTGAGATTAAATGTGGGGAGTGCTCGTGAAGGCTATCATTTTTGTACACAGAAGGCTCCTCGGGAGTTTCTTTCATGTTACGTGTGTGGTGTCAAAAAACAGGAGTGGCAGGCATTGATAACAAAACAAACACGCCCTCCTTATTTTTTTGCCGTCCTTGGCGAATAAGGACGACCGGGACGGTAACGAGAAAGGCAAAAAATGAATGGGTTACGATTGGCTAAACAACAACAAGTTGGAAAGTGTCGCAGCAAAGGGCGGATCCAGACAATTAACAGGGGCGGATCTAGGGGGAGGGTGCAGGGGGTGCGCACCCTCCCCTGAGATGACCTACGGTTTTCTAATACAACTGGTATTCTGCAGAAAAAAAAAAAAACTATGTGGTTTATTGGTGTTGAAGTAGAGCAAGAGTCGAGTGCACCCCCATCCTAAAAAAAATCCTGGATCCGCCCCTGATTAAGAAAGAGAATAACAGTTTATTGTTTGAAGTAATAGGGATTGAGTGCTTGCGGTATTTGTGCACGTTTGATTGACGTATCAGAGAATACCGAACGAATGAGATTTCGATTCTAAATCAAAAACAACGCCGAGTTCGTAAATACGATGCAAAACATTTTCCATATGAAATTCAGTATGGATATTATATATAGTGGTAATGAGTTATCATGCATTCTGCCATAAAGACATATTTGTTTAGTCTAGTGACTCTAGTCTCCTATTAATGCCAAAACTATTAAAATTTGCCCCTAAACATCATGAAATGAGGAGTGGAAAGACATATTTTTAAGTTCTTAAATAAAAACTAACGAAGGTAATAGCTACAAGCACTTTAAGAGGTAACATACTGCGGATACAGGAATTACAAATAGCTTGTCGTTTTTTTCAGGCTACAGTTAGAAATGATTTGAGTGAAACAATAGGCCTTTTGAATCAGTTGATCACGTGATCGACTTTCGCTAAACACGAAAACAGTTCGCTTTTGCAAAATTTTGGTAGCACGAGCTGAAAGAGCATAATAAAATTAGGTAAGCTGTAAATGTTCAGCCGTATATTTCAAAAGTAGCGATTGCAACGGCCACGGAGAATTAGAAGGATTTGTATGCGGAAAACAAGTCTTACCGCCCAGTCACGCTTGAGAGGTTTTCCATACAACTCCTTGTAACTTGTGAAATTTTTAAACTGTCGTTAAATACAAATCCCTCTAATTTTCGGCGGCCGTATCAATCGCTACTTTTGAGATATACGGCTGAAAATTTACAGGTTACCTAATTTTAATATGCTCTTTCAGCTCGTGCTACCAAACGTTTTCAAAAGCGAACTGTTTTCGTGTTTACCGGAAGTTGATCACGTGATCAGCTAAACCTAATAGGCCTTTCTGCATTAGTTACATAATTCCTGAAATATAGCCTAAAATTCTTTCCGGAATTTCCCGAAAAAAGCTGTAAAATTCCTTTAGAAATGTCTAAAATTCTCCAAAAACTCTCTAAAATTCCTGTAAATTCTCAAAAGATTGCTTTTTTTTTTTTTATAGCGAGGGACTTTTTTGGTGCCTAACTGCTGGTAAGTTGAAGTGTAGAGGACTCTGATAAAAAAACGGTTATTTGTTGTGTTCAGTGGACAGTGCTCTGGACACTGCATGCTGTAGCATGTAAGCAGACTGAGTCCTCTCTTGGTCGGTAGGAATACAAAGAAGAATAATTTTTTGTCAAAGTTTGTTTGGTTGTGAAATGTTGTCAAAATGTCGGGTGAATGTTCAAATTGCTCTAAAATTCTCGAATTTGTCCATTCCGGAAATATGTAGCTCAGCCTAGAAATTGTGGTTTGAATAACAGAAGACAGAAAAACTTGCTTATCAACACGCGTCTCGTCTTCTTTTTTTTTTTTCCTTTCTTTTTTGCTATTGTTCAGACTGTTGTTTTGCAGGCTCTGTTTTTCTGCAGACAGTGACATATACGAATAAATTTCTGAATCATCACCTCGTTCAATCAAACGTGAATGTAATTTGCGGAAATACATAAGACCATGAGCATTATGACCATTGCAGGCATACAGATAAAGCCATTTTAAGGGCAGAATTTATCCAAGCAAACCTTTAACTGACTTTAAAAATAAACAAAAATGAAAAACAAAACTTAAATCTTAATTTGTCGGTTCACTTTTATACTTTATAGAATTATTTTTGAAAACAAAAATAAATGATGTGGAAAAAACAACTATTTTTAACCAAATATTGTTCAAATAGGGCGTTAAACTGCTGATTAAAAAAGAAAATTGGAATCCAAACTTTCGTCCGAACAGCATCATCATCTCTAAGGTCCCATTTGATCAATATTTTTTTAATCGAGCAGCTGCTGAAGGACAACATGAACAGATTAATTTTAAACCTATTTTTTATTTGAATTTTCTTTGATTGCTTTTTTATATTTATGACATTTACTTTTAATATTTAGGGCTTTTTACATTTTTTAACCTCACCAGTATACACAGTGTAATTCGCAAATGGGCTGCTTACCGTTCTGCCAATTCACAACCGAGATTTCGGTTTTTGCTACCGAACGAGAATTTGGTCAGCCACTCTAGAAACTTAAGCATAAAAAGTATCGACACGATACTACTCTAACTACGCAAGCGTCTCCTTTGAAAGAAGCGAGCTCAGGAACATTGTGGCCTATTTCGTGAGTTTTGTTGTCTGGAACTAATTTCTGCATTGATATAATATTAAATTCTGATGAAAGAACTCTTAGAGGAGCAGCAGAGAAAATCAATAGTTTCCAAGTTTTCGTGTACATTGTCATAACATTATTGTAATTTCACCTCGATTGACCAGAAAGGAATTTTATACATGAGCAAGCCCTTAATCACATGCTGTAAAGAAAATTTGTGTAACGTATTTACTCTAAAGAGCGCCGCCGTGGTTAAAGATTTACCGAAGTGAGTATCAAAGTACTGGAGTGATGTTCAGCTCCTACAAGGCGTAGGATTCGTCTGGAAAATAGTAAACAAACGAACGTAACGATGAATTCAAACCCATCCTAAAACAAAAGAGCTGCGGTCAAATGAAAGTACAAAGCTGCGATTTGTTTTTAGTAGGAAACATTTATTTGTTTTTCTTTATCTTGTTCAAAATGAGATTGATAGCAGCCATATAGGTAGTAGGATGTAATGTAATGAAAGTTAGTTTTAAGGTCTATGTCTCTTTCCAGATCCAAATAAATATTATCTAATCAACAGCCATCTAACAATATCAGCCGTATTATCATTTTAGGATTAACCAAGTTAAAATTGAAAATGCGCATGCGCCGTATTGGCGAGCTGGGCGGTAGTCTGGGACCCTTTCTCCTCCCCAGTCCACTGTTCAGCTTGCCTCGCACGCCAATATATATTTTTTTACTGTTTCAGCCTGTTTTTTTGTCTTTTTCCTCCACTGCGGAGCCCGGTCCCAGGCTACGCCGTATTGTTGCTGGGAAGATGCGGCGCTCTTTCTAGTAAATACGGTATCCTTTGTACAGGATAAGACTCCTGCAAATGATCTTTGGAAACGAAACTGGCTGCGGTTGTTCAAAAGTTGCATGGCGCTATCCACAGGATAAAAATCTATCCACTGGATAGCGCAATTGATTTCTCTAATACTTATCCGCTGTGATTTATCCGGTGGATAGCGCTATCCAACGTTTGAACAACTGGGGCCTGGTCTTTAAGGATTCTCTAACAGTCGTCCAGCAGACTTCTTCCATCATTCGCCCTGGCTCCTAACTGACTAGAGATACTTTCGAGTATCGCCCTTTGGGTATACAGTTCCGTCCTTAACGATGTGATGCTGAAAAAACAAAAGATCAACATAAAAAAAAAAATTTTAGAAAATAAGCAAGAAAAAGTGTATCAGTATTCATTTGCATTTTTTTTACCATTTGTGCTCTATCAAGTGTCTGTTAGGTTATTCCCTCCCATCCCTCTGCAGGCCTGTTTCATCAACCCTCGGAAAAAACTTTGACGCCGAGAGGAAGCTGCGGGAATTGAGAAAGTTTTGTGAAATAAGGGCGTCAACCCTAAGTCGGCGCGTGTGAGGCTTTCGCTCGACGGATTGAGGAAAAGGTGAGGCTTCTTATGGTCCAAGCAGTCTCGACATCGAGCATTATTCATGGTTCAATTTGACCTGTTACCATCCTCCCCGGGCAATCCCCAGGGCAAGTCCAGCTCTTCGAGCCCCGGGGTGGGGAATTGTTTGAAGCGGTACTGTCCCAGGAGTAGGGAATGGGGCAAATCAAAAATAACTTCTCTTTGATTTTGCGAAGTACGTCTTATTTCTCGCGCGGTTTGCACGAAGCTGCGGAACTTAAGACTACGTATTTCAAAGGGAAAATGCAGGAATTTATAGGAGAGTGGTTGGAGAGGAATAACCTATCAAAATTAAAGTTTCTATTTGAAGGTGTGTTTTAAAATTTCAAACGAATGTGCGTAAAGTGCGTCCTTGAATGAAGAAAAAACAAAGAAATATTTCTTCAGCCTATAGTTTAATAATGAGACAACTTAAATGTAGACTGTATATGAAAACGGATACAAGACTTTTTACAGTCTTATCCCTTCTCTCAATTAACTCCAGAAAACGTTTATCAAAGTTCTGAAAACGTCTCGTTTTGCTAAGGTACGGAAATTACTATTGCTCTAAAAAAGATGTACTCCAAAAAAACGTATGTGAGGTCGATCAGGAGCTCGGGTGTGGGGAATTGTCTCCTTCTACGTGCCTGGGGGTGGGGAATAGACCACCAAGAAAGAAAAAAAAATCGCAAATCCCCGGGGATTTGCCCGGGAGGCATGGTAACAGGTCAGAGTAAGCGCCATGTCATTGATTGGATGCCTCACCCACTCGTCCACTGACTAACTTTGCTAACTTTGAAAATGCTGACGTTGAGAGCAGGTCAATTGACCTGCTCCCAACGTCAGTGGCTTCATAGCTCAGTTGGTAGAGCATCTCACCGGTATCGCGAGGTCACGGGCTCAAACCCCGTTGAATCCTGAATTTTTTTCAGGCTTCTTTACGCAATTGCGTAAATTGCGTTCACTGCGACGATCATTTCTTCATTTTCATTTCATTTCCGCAGTTCATATATGATTTATTTCATATGTTATTAACACTTTGCTAACTTTGTTTTGTTTTGTACCAAGAGCCATAATGGGACAGCTGTCCCATTATGGCTCTTGTTTGCAAGCATAGTAGGTTCCACGTGCTATCGTGCTAGAGCGCTCAAATTGACTTATTTGATGAAGGACGGGATACTTTTTACCACACAGCTAAAATTTCCAAGTGCGATGAAGTCAGAGAAGACGTTGAAAATTGCTAGTAGCCGGAGCGCGTGATCAAAATTTTAAGAGATTTGGATGAAGCTTGGTAACTTTCCCAAGATTTGCTTGCCTACTCGTCAAAATGGCTTTGTGGCAAGGTCTATTCTGAAGTTGTTTAGTAAAACTTAAATAAGTTTAAGTTGCGTTAGCTGTTATTATTCTGCATTTCTGCGATTCTTAAAGTGCTATTACGATGATTAAAAAAACACAAGCGTCAAAACTGGAAGGGAAAAACATCAACAGCAACAAAATATGTGTGGTAGCAAGGCGAAGGAGTTGTCATGGCAGAGCGCATGCAGTACTGAGGACGGACTCCTGGCTGAAATCTATCGCCTAAACACCTAGCCTTCTCCCTACCTCACACTGTATTACAATTTCAATCTTTATGTTTACCAGTCTTTATGATCTTTCAGTTGTTCCTGGAGGACAGTCATCTTGTCTTCATTGTCAGACTGACTGGATTCTGTCAGCCGCCATGGTGCATAATCTACCATGCCTAAATACCACTAAAACACAAATTTAATTCAAGTTATAGCTCCCAGTTAGTTTCTTTTGAAACACATGAGCAGAGGTCCATTGTTCTCGGGTCATACTTACAGTCGAGTCAGTAAAAATTGTAGATCAATGACAGTATCAGCCTTAAGAGAGAGCGCTTGTGGTCGGTCAAGGAGAACTGACGTACATTGCTTTTACTGAAATTCTATAGGTTTGTTTTGGTCTACTTTCATATAAAGATTTTACAATTCCCCAGCTCCGCAGTTGTTTTGATAAATTCAGTTGGACAGAAAGTCTGGTTAGGTCTTTTCAAAGGTCAGGCATCGATTCCCAGAGGAGTCTCAATTTTTTTAAAGGTTTTGAGGAAAAATAATCAAAACACTAAAGATAGCTTGCGTAGCTGACGAGATTTGTGGCGTATTTCAGCTTCATTTCACGGGTGCTTTCGTTGTTTTTCCTTAAGCTGTAAGCCGCGAGAACAATTGCAAGACTTAAATTGAGATTTCTCACCCGCCAAGAAGCAATAGCCAACTCTGGTCCCGCTACCTACGAAGGCTATCCCGGCGATTATCGCCGAAGAATGGAAAGACATTAAAGAAAAATCTTTTCGCCTTTCAAACCCACAGTTCCTGTTTTATTACTAAAGTGCAAAGCACTTGACTGTCCCTTTTATATTTTTTAAAAACCTGATAAAACTGTCCCGCTGCTAGGTTTTTAAACATTTAATGGTCTCTTAATTCAGGGACCGCGGAGGACTACTTTTATTGCTGGGATTTATTTAATAGGACTCCAGCTGACATGGAAAAAATTCCCGTAAAATTGATGGACTTTACCATAAAAAAAGGTGGACGGTTAGAGCCAGTTATTTTTGACGAATTCTTGAGAACTATGCAGCTCTTGGAAATCTGAAATCTCACATGTCGCCAATAAAGTTTCTAAATGCACAGGAATTATTCGTAAATCCAGTTTCTATTTATCCACGAAAACCGTTACGAACACTATATTTTTCTCTAGTCTATCCATACCTTTTTTACTGCAACTTAGTTTGGGCCTCTACTTACAGAACTAACCTTATTCGTCTTGAGATTTTACAGAAACGAGTGATCAGAGCTATAGCTAAAACCACTTTCGATGCACATACTGATCCAATCTTTCAAAATCTTGGTATCTTAAAATTTCATGATATATACTTAATACAACTGGGCTTATTCATGTACTCCTATCAAAACCATACTCTACCTTTAAAATTTCATTGTAAATTTACCTTACAAAGTCAAATTCATTCGTATAATACAAGAAACTCGTGTAAATTTCGTCTGCCTTTCTGTCGTACTCGAACCAAACAATTTTCCGTTTTTTATCAAGGATCTAAATTTTACAACACCTTAAACACCAACATCATCAACGCTTCCTCACCTTTCTCCTTTAAAAGAGCACTTAAGGCATTTATTTGTAATAATTATTAGTATACTCCAACAAAAATCTTGGGAAAAAGCCTTTTAATATTCAACATTTGTAAAGTTCCGTAATATTGATTAGTTTAATTTTTCACCTGATATTATATTGTACCCGTCGCCGTAATTTTTATGCCATCTTCCAAAAATTGTAATTGAGGAGGCCTAATTAGCATAAGCTCTATAGTTTCTTTTAGGCCTCCTCGCCATCTCTTCCTACATTTTTTTTTTTTTGGCATCTTTAAGTAATTATTGTAATTGTGTGGCAAATAAATAAAATACCTAAATACCTCTTATGGAAAAGTGGGATGTTTGCCTATGTGTCTGGAACGATTACAACTCCTTGCACGCACATCGGCGATATGTGATTTGACTTTTTCTTTGGTTTGCATCTTGGAGAGCGGCTTTATTCCCACACCTATGATTTATCTAAAGATCTTCAGGGTACTAAGGAGGTGGCTGCTGTCAGTGGACAGCGCGTGCAAATCTAACAAAGGAGACGCTCACAAAAATACGCACCGATCAGAGCTTTGACTATTTCTATGCTAATGTTGCCCGAAAGAGTGAAGGCCTGCTTGTCTAACCAACGTTTCCAAGAAAGCGATGCACTCCAGCCAGACTGGAGGTTGGTGCTGGTGCACCAGGCTACTCCCAAACTGCCTAAGATCAATTTAGGGTCTTTTATGAGGCTATTGATCTTATCGTCAGTGCTATCGATCAGCGCTTTAATCAGGAAAGCTTCAGCTCCTACGCCCAGATGGAGACCCTCTTGGTTAAAACTGCTATGGTGACGACTGTAACGCAGAGTTCAAGTTTCTTGAAGCATGCATCATAGAGCGAAGATGTTGACTGGGGCGCTACCTGGGCAGCTAAGTATTTTGGAAGTTTTGTCAAAGGAGGAGAAGATATCATGTTTTGACAAAATCCTGTTAGCGGTGTGAACGTTTCCAGAACCAGAAAAGAAAACGGCTAATTCAGGAAGTCCAAACTAAGCTGCTTGCTGTAAATCCCGCTACCTGCTGGCGAGCAATCTCATCTGCACGGCGTCTGAAAACGTGGTTTCGATCCAGGATGGGTGACGAAAGGTTTAGCAACCTAGTAGTGTTGAATGGTCACAAGCAAAGAACAAACAGTGTCTTTCTATAGCTGACGTTGCACAGGAGTTTGTTTCCCGTGATCAGAACAGCAAGAGAAACAGTGCAGTGCGGCAACTTCAAAAAGTAGCAATCTTCGGAAGGTTTATTTAACATATTGGCTACATTAGATAGTATAACAGGTGAGGATTTTTATGTTATATTTGTTGAGGTTGTAAATAAGATGGCGCGCAAATGCAAGATAAATGGGGAAATATTGACCTCAATATTTCTTTGTATTGGCCAGATTTTTTAGCCCTACCACTTTAAAATGGTCTCCGCGGTCCCCGTTATTGAGAAGCTCTTACCGTTAATTTCTTTAAGAAAGTATTGGAACCTGAGTTCGGCCGAATAACTAAGCGAGGCACGTAAAGTTTTCTCAGGAAGCGCTTGGGCAACTTTTCTTCGAACTGATATATTGATTCTATCTGTTGAAAAAAAAAAAAAGATTTAGTTTAACAGTTTAGAACGTACAATACATTGACGTATAAAGGGGCTAGATAAAGGAAAGATGTCTTAGAAAAGTTTGTTTGAGGAAACTGAGAGCATGTATGTAGTCGTTAAAATCGCTCTTTAATATTCAAGGACCCAAGGCCAGTAATGCCAAGCTTTTCAGCATGAATGGAATAGGCTCTTCTTTTCTTGTGCCTACTGTGGAAGTTTTTTACAACTCATATTTATAGGAAAGTTCATTCATATGTTTTAAGCCACCACAAAAAAGTTGTAGCCGATTTTTCAGTGGAAAGACAGCTTCTCTCCGTTTGCAGAAATGAGCTTATAATTACTAAAACGAACCTCTGAAATGATACAAAAAACAATGAATTTTATCTTCAAAAAGAACAGACTATTTAAAGGAAGGTCCATTCATAGTAACCGGACGCCCCCGGGGGGGGGATGTACTCCCATATATGGGCTATATAGGTACGTGCCGCGGAATAGGGTATGGTTTTTGAGGTTCTCGGTCCTTAAATAAGGTATCTTTTTTGACCCTTTTGTTTCTGTGTCCCTGGTGTGGTCCTTAGATAGGGTAGCTTAATTGTATTATCTAATACTGGAGTGTGAAAACGCCCGCCTAAACGAACATTTTTTTAAAACTAGGCTTATTCTAGTATTTTATGCTTGATGCTATACATCCAATGTTACAGAGAAGAAATAAAGTTTTCTTTTTCATGCTATTGATAATTTTGTTTTTTCCTTGAATAGGGTGTCATTTTTCGGCTTTCGGCCTTAAAAAGGGTATCAGTTTTCGCTTTCTTAGTCCTTAAATAGGGTTAGGGTTCACGAACCGTCGCAGCACACCCCTATCCAAAATTCGCGGGAGTACCCCCCCGGGCCGGACTCTTAAAAAACTTTACTCTAAGTCAAGAAATATCGTCTACCTTAATATGAAAAAAGTGTGCATTTGTACTGCTCACGGATAGATCTCTATATGAAAGATGTATCTACGTCGCAACAGAGAAAGAGCTCACACTCCTTTGTACGTAATGAGAAGTTTAGGTATATAAATCGTCATGGGACGGCTCTTGATTTGAGCATGTTGTTGTTAATTTGAGGTGAATAAACTAAACTCAGGCCTGATTTTCACCTGCGTTTTGAGGCCCTTAAGTTCTGCCGTCTTCTGAACTGCTTCAATGTCTCCAACGGCTAAACCAATCTACAGTAAAGGGTAGCCAATAAGTTTGAGTAATTACAGTGGGTAAACTTTTCCCAACTCTGCTTACTTTAGTATGCAAAAGATCTTCATATAGTTAAACCTCTTGCAAAACCAGCGCAGACTATTGACTGCAAAATATTCTTATTTTTTACTAAGGAACGGAACATTATAGTTCGACAGACAGCTTGGAAAGAAGATTTACTGTAGAAAAAATGGTCTGCAACGAACTTAGGAGACTGAGAACCATTGTCTTTAGGAGACTATGCTGCTGACTGAGCTAGAGTTAGACTAACCATGAAAAAGATAAACACGTGTTAGTATCACGTGAAGATATTGTCCCTGACGTCACCGGCGTAATACCTTTGGCACAGTTCTGACAGTTGTATCTGTTGCAGGAATATCATTTCACCATAACCTGCAACCTGTTTGTCTTAAGATCCCTCTCCTGGCCATACAAAACCCCTCAGTCGCCCTATTCTGAGATTCCAAGGATTTTTGAACTCTGACCAAAAGATCTCGTTGAGCGTTGATGTGTAACGAGGACTGAGTATGTTTTTAGGTGAACGTGGACTAAACTCCTGCGAGTAAAACATCCAGTTTAACGTAAAAAAAAAGGATGGTATTTTAACCTGAACCTGATTTAGTATGAGCTCACCAGAAGATTCATGAGCGAGATTGACATTACAATGATGAAAGTGAAGCAGACAAAGCGAGCGAGGCCTGGCATGGGGATCTCTTTCTCGACAAAGTAATGATTAAACTCAATTCCTCCAGCCATCATGTCAAACACCTTTAAGACCGACATGTACGGGTTCTGGTACGACAGCTACAAACAAAAGAATAGTGATTAGCTAAGGTACAAATGGATACGGTTCAGAGTAAGGGAGTCTAGACCCGGGGGTTCTGTATGAAAGTGACGCTCGGATGGAGGAGCGGATGGTCGTCGTTTCGCAAAGGGGTATAAAAATTATGACAAATATTACTCTCAGTAGGGATGTTCAGGATCGAAATTCAATCTTCTTCTTGCCAATGATTTTATCGCTTAGGAATAAGGCCTTCCAAGGAGGGAGGGGGGGGGGGGCGGTTTGTGTCGCTTTGTCAGTCATTTCTTAGATCGCCTTTCGCCTGGTAGGTTACTAATTGCATGACGTTTGGTCTGGAGAATTTGTATGTGGATACTGGGGTTTAAAGGAGTGATAGAGAGATACGCCCTCACATTGCACTCACCTCGTCTCCCAAGAGAATGAAGAAAATCAGTCCGTAGGCAAGAAAAAGTACTGAGAAGACCATTATCACCTGGAGAACGAAATTTCCCAATGTGAGTCAGTGAGTGTTTTACTCCATATTCAGACATCAAGGAGTACCGAATAGATTTAAACCAATTTGAGGTGTCTCCGGATAACGGATAATTAAAACAGATTTAGGATTGTGTTTCCTTTTACTTTTCGTTCGGGTAATTTGTTAATGAGTCAGTAAATTCATTATTCTATTTTTCATTATATATAGATGAGTACGATTTTGCTTTGCATACCTTAAACACAGATGTTAAGACTTCAATAAGCATTGTAACGTAGATCCCTGAACAAAAGAGTCTGAGGAAACAAACAAACAGTACTAATTTTAACTGCTGCTACCAACTATTTCAGCATATCTTCAGACCCTCAGATTTATATTTTCCGCGTTTGGCGACAATTATGGGTTTATGTAGATTTAGAAAGGTGCAGCAGCGAAAGCGTCACTTTTAAAATGAATTCGCGTTTTTTCAAACTTTGTCGCGTTTATTCCAATTCGCCGAAAATGTCAAACCCTGGAGCTGATTTCTTGGGGAATCACTTAAGTTTAGAAAGAGAAAGAAAAATTCGTCCTTCGGTGTTTACGTCCGCCATAAAACGTAAAATTAGGCATTTTCAAGTCGTAGTCGTGCAGTGACGGCAAAGAAATGGAGAAATGTACAAAAAAGCGTGATGCACGTGCAAACTTCTTGTTTTGCTTAATCATTACGCAAAAGTGGAAAAGTGGAAAACCTAAAGTGCGTCAAGATATGAGACTTACAGCTGTAGTTGGGCAAGAAAAGCCACATAGGCCAGAAGCAACGCAATAACACCTGTAGCCCACTGGGTTGTGTTTTCAATTCCTCCGGTCGGAGGAAGAATGGTGATAAGCGTCATTGTATAGGTAGACACTTCAAAGAAATTGATCATGTCTAGGTACATCCAGCGCTGAAAATAGCAACAACAACAACAACAAGAAATGAAAAATTTTAAACTGGCCTTTTTAATGCGAGAGCCGTTTAAGTCGTGTGGTGAAAAAAACCGGGATAGTGATAAAAACAGAGTTTTCTGAACAAAAAAGACAAAACACTGACTCCTCCCTGTTGCTTCTGCACGGCATAAATGCGTCCCAATTTACGGCCTCCCATTTTTATATACTTTAGCATTTACTGTCTGAGGCGTTTAAGTCGTCTGTTAACTGAGTCTGAACGACGCAGGTTAAGTGAAAGCCGTCTGCATCATTTACCGTTTTCATACAAGACGCTAAAGTCATCTTAAAACGATTTTGGTGTCTCCAGCAGAAAAAAGGCTATGTCTTTTAAAAAGGACAAGTTTCCTCCAGTTACAATGTCTTATGTCAACCGATATCGTATAGGACGATGTTTAGCAGAGCGGAAGTTCGCGGGTATGATCCGTAAGGACTGAACCAGTACTGATGGCAAATGTATAACGACAAGCATACTTCCTAACTTTGTCATAATAAGGGTAAGACCTTCTTCACATGGGAATGGGGCTCTCGTCTCAAAAATGGCATATTTTTACCATTTGGCCCAGTAGCTGCAAGCAACTCGAACGGCAGGGTAATTAATGGATAAGTTTTTGAAACTTTAATTGTCCAGCTGTCCATGAATTTTATTCACCATTTTTCGAGCAAAATCAGGTTCAGTGTAAATTGGTAATTTTGTTTAATACTAACCTCATAGTACAACTGCCAGACTTCAAACACAAGATTTGCCAAACAAAAGAGTGCAATAACAATTTCTTCAGGGTACAACAATTCTTCTCTGCAACTCTAAAAGAGCAACGTAATACATTTTCAGGTACTTGTGCCTTAACAACTAATAATTTATTCCCAGTGCTGCCCTAAAAACACAACTTTCGGAGAAAAAGAATGTTCTGAAAAACGCAATGCATCGTCTGTACGTAGGCAAACAGCTTTTCGCGCTTTTTTTGCTTCGAAACGCTTCCATAGACCTTGTCACGCTTTTGGAAGCCATCATGACAAGAAGGCAAGCGCGTGAGAAATTACAGTGTTTGTATGAGAATCTAATGTCGAATAATTTCCGTAAAAAAGGCTGCAATAGCTTAACAATTCTGCATATTTCAAATGCATTGTTAATTACTGCTATTCACTTGAAAACGAAACTTGGAGACAATACCTTGAATAATGAGAGGCTCTTACGAAATTTCCGACAAAAATGTAGCGAATAGACCTGTAGGCTGTGGAAGGAAAAATGAAGGGACCTGCAATAGACCTTACTCACGATCCCCGCCATCTTTGCACGCGCTTAAGGACTAATGGGATAAAAGCGATGTCACGTGGTTTCTCAGGGGGGAAACAGGTGATAAATTTTTCCAATACAAGAAATCGCGGTGGAGTTTGTTTATTCTTGACAACAGAAAATGAACACCTTTTTCTATTAAAGACGATAATAGCAAATTATGGGTGGAAGTGATCATTTTTTCTTTTTTGGATGTAGCAGCCACCGAAGATGTCCTCACAGCAAACAATAATGACGTTAATTTTTTCGAAACTCAAACTTACATTTTGCATGACTATCAAATCGTCGTTTCGTTTTGAGAGAATAAATAAAGTCGAGTGCGATTTCTCGCATTGGCAAATTTTCTCTTTTGTTTGCCCCTGAAATACCACGTGACATTGCTTTTATCCCACCAATCCTAAAGCGGGTGCAAAGATGGTGGATATCGAGAATAAGGTCTATTGTAGCTCCCTTACTTTTTCCTACCACAGCCCCCTTTTCCCAGACCACGCACTCATATTTTCGCGTGCCTTTCATTTTCGCGTCATCCCTGCTATCTGAGAACCTGGAACAGATAGTGTGGAAGCAATGAAGAATACTACGTTGTGTAAAATTCATAAGATGTCCAACGAAATATGTGTGCATTACGTACCTTTTGTGGATCATAGCTCTGTGTGTGCTGGTTAGCAAAGGAGCTGTTTGTTTTACTGTGAACGCAGTATAGATAGTGGGAAAACAATCCCAAGAAAATACCATACAACAGAGCACCAAAGAAAAACACTGTCAGACCAATATGACGCCTAAACAAAAATATACCATTTATTACTTCCTAATAAGTTAAACTGTATGAAATATTTAGCTATTATTTATTTATATATTTTTTATTTGTGACATTATCCAAGCGCAACAAGTTACTTGAAAAGCTTTGGTGTCGGCACAAAAAGCTATCCCGGTATAGATTGGATATAGCCTTATTTGTCTAATCTCTTTTTCCGATTTAAAAAACTTGAAGGTGCAATTCTTCTCACCGAGACCATAATGCACCTTGTTTACACCTAAAAAATTGGCATAACCATTGTCTTCGATTTCTCTTGCAACGAATGTAATACCCAGTAGAAATTGGAAATAATGGCTATGTACAATAGCTTACAATTTTTTTGGGCGGGGGGGTGAGGGGAAGGGGGGCGGAAGAAGGTACATTATGGTCTTGGTGGCAAGAGAGATTTTCACATTTATGAAGTCTTTTTGCGACCAGTAATATTATTTCTCTCAAAGGCAAAGTAAAAATTGAGCCACACTGAGGAAAAGTCTTTTTAAAGTGGGATCCCTACATACTTGTACGTACCACTTCATTCGAACCATCTCTCTGGTCAGCGGATGAAAAAGCAGATCCTCACGGCACCAGTCTAACATGGTCTACAAACATGAACGAATGGATATATTAATGAATAAACAAAATACTCTTCACCGACAATTTGGTGGCATGTAGCTAAAAAGCTAAAAATATAAATGTCAAATAGACGACTGCACGAACCGATCAAACAACAAAAACGACTGCACTGAGCCGCAATGTACATTTCGAGTGGCCAATAGCAATCCTCATCAATGAGTCATTTCATGGTCTTTTTCTAATCACAATTTGAGCAGATCTATTGAATACGGTCTTTGTATTGGTTTCACACATCAATTTGGCATAAGCTGTGAAGCTACTAAAATCCCTGGCAAGGATTTTTTATCAAGTCTCCTCAGTATGATTCTCATTTTAGGGTAGAGCGCTTGGAATTGCGTGACGACACGCCATGCTTCAGTCTCCCCTGTGATGTGTATGGGCGACTGAGGCTCCTTTGCATCCATTTTTGATTGAAAGGGGATATTGTTTTTTCTCCGATCCGGATTCGCCTTCCGTGCACACGTAACCTAAGATCAGGTACTCTTTTCGTCTCTCTAGAAAAAAGGTTACCCCACACGAATCTGATGAAATAGGCGTCGAAAAAGCAATTTTGCAAATATATCTCAAAGGTGGAATTGCTTTTTTAAATCTCTGACTGGATTTGTTATCTTGTGAAAGAATGAAAGCTGACCTCGCACCGGATAGGAATGCTTTACAAACAACAGAAAAAATATTCGTTTTCCATAGTGTAGGTGAGTCATTACATAAACCTCAAATTATTGAGATAAGGCAGATTGTCAGTCGGAGTCGAAGTCGTAATCAGAAGCGTAGAACTTTACGATCATTGAAAACAACAACTCCGTCACTTTCAATCAAGTGAAAACTAAGTTCTCGAAGTCGCAAGCAGAAGCGGAAGAACCATAAACCAATCACAAAGCTTGGGAATAAGCATTGTGACTGGTTTATTCTTCCACTTCTGCTTCCGACTCCGGCAATGTGGTTTTCACTAGATGGTAAACGACGGTGTCATAAGCAGAGTCAGAAGTGAAGAAAATGGAAACGTTCTGATTCTTCCGACTCTGATTCTGTTGCTCTTATTACCCCGCTTACGAGTCCGATTTTTTATTTTTACTGAGTCATAAGCACTCTTTACGACCCAGCCTCACGACTCCGACTCCGTCACTAGTGAAAACCAGCCTTTATCAAGTTCCTACCTTTGCGCCACAGTATCTCTCTTGGTTTATATCGATATTCTCTCCTTCTTTAGGAAAAATTAAAGAGAAATCGTAGGTGATCTGAAGACAACAACAAAAAAAAATGTAAATTGGAGTAGCATTAAAAACGAAAGGTTACGTTTTTATTGCCCTGTACAGTCGCTTTAAAATTTATGTAAGCTTTCTTGTTAGGTATAAAAGCGTACCGTGTAATTTGGATCAGTGTCCAGATGTGGTGAGCGTTCAATGCATTTGTCCAGGACAACCTGAAAAAATTGAAATCCCGACCATTTACTTCAAATACACAAAGGTTTCATCTCAGTTAAAAACAATAACAGGTGTTCATAAATGCGATAATTATTACCAAGAAAAAGAAAAACTTTGCAAAGCTGAGTAAAAACAGCCTTTTTTTCTAAATTTATTACTGTATTTACTCGATTAAACGCCGCGGCGTTTATCTCTGAAATTTTTTAGAGTTTCTGATGCGGCGTTTATTTTTAAATCATATTTCTTAAATCACTAACGATAGTTACAGTGAATCATTTGTAAAAAACAAAAATTTCAAATGTCTCCCTTATTTTGGTTCGATAGAATCGTAAATCCCGGAATGGTGTAGGTTCCCAAGTAGTGCCAAATTATTCTGATCATTTTTCTGATTGGATGCAGCCAAATAGCACATGATTTGAGAAATAATTATAATTCTACTCATGCCTTTCTCCCTACAGATAACTAAAGTTCTTCTAATATGATTTCTTGGATTTTCTCTTTTCCACCGTCAAACACAATGAACGAGATAAGCCCCAAAGAAACAATAGGTTCAGAAGAATGAATTTTTTCTAACCTTAGCCACTTCTGGGAATTTTTCAATGAGTCTTCGCATAGGAGTCACTCCCTCGAACTTTATGTTGCTTAGCATTTCCCGCCATCTACGAACAATCAAAAAGACTCTTTAAAATCATCAAAGATTCTGTCTGGGATAAATTTAAGTATCTAAACGACAGGCTTAACGTTTTGCTTTTTGACACAGACTTTTTGAGTAAAGACTTGATTATTCCGTCAAGTAAGCTTTTATCCCCTCTGGGCAAAAACAAATTATGAGCGTCCATTGAAACTAACTCAGTTCATTGATCAGTACTAAAGAGCTGTCTTATACAGTTTTATTAACTTTCCTGAAACCTTTTGCTTTAGAGTTCTTGGAAAATGTTAGTTTTGAGCAATATTTTTTGTGGAACTTCCTCCTATGCCAGTATAAAATAGTTCTCTATCTTTTCATCCGGTTGGTGAAACTAAAAAGAACAGATCATTCATCAAATAGGTTCTAAAACTAAATTTCATGCTGGTTGTGCTCTTTAAAGACGAAAATTTTGTACTTATGGTTCCGTTTTACGGGACTATAGACACATGTTTAAGATTCATACTTTTTGTTTTTCACTAACTCCATGCATACGTCTGTATTTCCAGATTTGATAGCTGCATCCAAACAATTGGACCCAGTTGATGATACGAGGGCTACATCTGCTCCGCACTGAATAAGCTTTCTGAGGGCGCTCAAATTTCCAGAACAGGACGCCAATATTGCTGGAGGCTTCTGCAATGATCACGTTATAATAAAGGAGATAAGAAAAATACAAACAATTTAAGGTATAATGCTAGCCTGCATTGGCGGTTCTCTCTTTGTCGCTCTAAGGATCCCTGAAGGATCAGTCTGTGAGCTGCAAGAAGCTACTACCCAGCACCGCAATAAGGCCAGTACCTGAGAGGGTTCGTGACGAAACAATAGACGAATGAGCAAAAATGTCCCTGTCCCTGAAAACAATAGCTGAGGTTTGTTTTGGAAGGCCAATCACAACAGAGGTATTTGAGAGCTTTGTGAATACTGTACCTGAGACAGGCAAACATTTTTTTATATACCCAGTCTTACAGGGCACAGATCTGCCCAATAGCAGTAGACACATATGACACAATGATTCACTCGAAATTCGGTTCGGTCGCCAATCGAGGCCTGATCTTCCGCTCTGATAAGGTACCCGACCATCTGAGCTAACCGGTTGATTGGTTAGTTAAAGCAGACCGGGAAGCCATCTCCCTAATTTGGACTCATCAACACGGGCGTGGCCATCTTTCCGTCCAAAATACATTCCCTTTTGTGGGATCTCTTTATTTTTTGCTGCCTCTCAATCGACCTGAAATTATGGCCCTATATAATGACACCTGGATTTAACTCGCTATCGTGAAAGCTTTTGTAGAAAGCGTAGACCGTGAATTGCAAAATGTTTGATATCTAGCATATCCTGCATATTCTATGCGCGTATTAAGCAGAGAGGTTCCTACTCACTCGATTTTTTTCCAGGCAGTTGATATCCGCTCCATAGTGAAGAAGGGTTTCAACTGTAGCAGGGCACCCAACCAACGCGGCATGACAAAGCGGTGTGTAACGATCGTCATCTCTACAAAAGAAAACAAATGTCGGTCATCAATAACAGGATACCTCTAGTAACTATCATAAAAATGGATGATACGTTGCGCCTTCGCTATCCCGGTCCCCGCGTCTTGTTTTCAACAACCAAAACAACCATTTGGGATAAACGAGTGCAAATTAGCCAGGCGACTAAAAAGAAAAGGAAACCAAGGAAAATGGGATAAATTATGGCCATTTTAAAGCTGAACACGAGACTGGCTCAATGACTGACTGTGCTATGGGAATGTTTTGGTAGCGCTATTACGTTTTTTTTATTGGTTATTACTAAGTTGTGCAGAAAACTGGGGGAAAATCAGACTCCTAAGATAATCCCACGGTGCAGTTGGGCCCAGTCGTAAACTCAAAATGACCTATAGCGGGACACCTAAGGTAACTGGAGTTCTAGATAACACGCGAAGTTCCATTGTACTTGCAAAGATGCAACATGGAAAGTTTGCATTGGTAATCAAGCACTTTAGTTACTTTAATGGAAGTGGTTCCGAGACATAAAAACTTGCTTGACAACTGAAGGTAAAAATCAAAATTGCTACCCAACAGCCCATCCTTTTTGAGGTTTTTCCTGCAGAATGGGGACAACCATTCCTATTTGCAATAGATCTTTCCGGCCTCCTCGTTTAAATAATAAGTACCCACAATTTTCCGTTGTAAATTTATACCTGTAATCGGCTGCTGCACCACTCTCTAGTAAGTGTGTGGCCACCGCTACACGACTCTTCCTAGCGGCATAATGTAACGGCGTACGGGAACCATAGTCGATGTCATTAACAGATTCTGGGCATACGCTGACGAGAGCTCTCACCACACAAACGACTCCGCTCCTGATAAAAAAAAAAGTTACATGTGTAAAGAGTTACCTCGTTTTTTAATAACAATAGTTTATTAAAAAATTGAATTGTTACAAACTCTGCAGCCAAGTGAAGTGGAATTCTTTCATCGTTGTCCTTTGCTCTGACATCTGCTCCAACGAGTATGAGACGGTTTATGATCTGTAAAATTAGTAAAACGACATGATATTAGGCAGATCTAAGATTTTCCCGTCTTATGATTCTTGTTCCCTATGTTGTATTTCCAGAGGCGTAGTGTTTTGGGGCAAAATAAGTCTTAAACAAATCTAGAACAAGGTCATATCACCTGTTGGTTGTTTCAATGGAAATCATAAATGCTCAGACTCAAAAAAAATCATTGAAGTGTTGGCTTCATTGGAGACAAAAAAACATTATGATGACTTAAGGAAACATCTTTTCAAGGACAACACCACGATTGAAGCAGCAAGAAACCAACTTGATCCACATAAGAACTCGTTTTAGATCTCAGGGCATAAATGGGAAACAAGACTCTTGTAGGATGCAATCCCCTGTTCCTAGGGTGTTAATATTAGTTACTGTAGTATATACGGGGAACATTTTAACCTTTTTTGCAAAAGAATCTCATTAATTTCCAAAGCCAACAAGATGACAGAGTCATGAAAACAAAGCTGTGAGATTTCATTTGGACGAGAAAAAAATTCATTAAGATAGCGTGTTTTACGTTGTATGTTAAGATTTGTGTCTATTTTTGACAGTCATCGTTGGTATGGCAGTTTTGACACGTGCCCATTATTTGTGGATCGATAATGTCATAACAGTTTTGAATGGCTGAATGGGCATTTGTTGGGTAACTAAATAATTGATGACAAAGCAGTTTGATTGGTGGCCAAGTGCCAAGTGGTATGTCATCGGAAATCGCTAAAACGTGCAATGTAATTATCCAAGTTAAGTAAGAGAGACTAAGGTGGCTGCACACAGTTTCGCGGGCAGTCAGCGGTATCTCGCGTGACGGCGAGTGTTTTAACTTACACTAACAAACATGGCGGCGAAAAAGCAATGGTACACAGAAGACAATTTCTCAAAATCTACTCATTAAAATTTTGTCATATTTGGCAGAATTTTTACTTTTATCGTATTTTAAATAATGAGAATTTTAAAATGGATGTTGAACAGACGATTTTTATGACATGTTTAATAATTACAGTACAATTATATTATTGATTATCTAAAAACCCCTCTGTTAAAATTTGGTCAAATAAGTTTCAAATGGTAATGATTAATTATAGTACGCTGTGTGCAAGTTTATAGGAAAATGTAATGAGTGATTTTTCTGTAAACTGAGCAAAAGTGAAATTTTAAGCTTGTATTCAATCGTTCATGTTGCCATGGAAACTACGAAAAAGTCACATTTTACCTGTCAATCAAAATCTTTCATCAGTATATTTTTCACTTGTCAAGTTTCAGCTTGTGAGCTGTCAGTTGGCAAATGACATATACTCACAAACTGCCAAAACTGTGTTTAGCCACCTTAATATGGGGTTTCAGCAAAGGCGTTTTTGAGCGATGCACGTCAACCGTAAGTGCGGCCTTTTCCCTTTTAATATGACTTGCAGGGGCATAGCTAGTTTTTCAACTAGTTGTAGGCCTGGCTGCCATCCTGAAAATTGTACGCATCAGTAATATGCAATGGCCTCACCAACACTTTGAGCGCTTAAACTTTTTAAGGCCTACTCTAGGACCTTAAGTCGCCATAATTTGAGGCGACTTAAGGCAATTTAAGGCGACTTTAGGAAAATTTAGTCAAAATGTTGTGCAACTTAAGGTGATTTAAGGCGACTTTAGGTGACTGAAGGAGAAAAAGGTGACATTTAGGTGAATTACATGTTAGTGTATGTGTTGCAGTTAATTTTTATTTCAGTTAATTTTTGGTTTTCCTTTGTTTTAAATTAATTAGCATACATAACCATACCCAGAAACAATCGAAAAATAAAAATTAACTGAAATAAAAATCAACTAGAACATATACAAAATTGAAATCTACTGATAACACCACCTCTCTAGGGACACAATGTCATAGCATAAGTTAATTCAGTCTTGAAGACATCTACATTAGTCTTCCAAATGTTCAACAATTTCAGCTACCTCATATTTTGAACATTAAATATCAAGATAGCTTGTGTTGCAGATGTATTCTAACCCTGGTTAGTAACACTTGTGAAGCAGCACTGATATCCTTGTTCTGGGATCCAATGTACTCAACAAATTACCGGCATTTTGAGTTTCCCTACAACATGATTGGCAAATGGACAATGGCATTTTTAACAGTCCAGTCCTGGCACATACTCAAATCCTGATACACAGACAGCGGGCCCAGAACTAGGATTTTGTTGCTGTTTTGCAGACGGACTTAACCTAGAGTTTAGTTACATCTGTGGCACAGGCTAATATCAAGAGTGTTGTTTTAGTATTACATTAGCAGAGACAAAATCTGAGTTAGAAGCAACCAAAAGGGTAAATTTCTCTTAGACTTTAAAAGCATTATTTTACAATATAAGGGACAAAAAATCAATGGTTCCTGTATTTTTTTTCCAAAAAATAAAACCCTAAAAGTACAGTATTTCAATACATCTCTGTAAAATACTGTAAGCTGGTTTGTACCAAAAACTTTGTATTGAAGTGTTTTTTTTTTATAATTTGACAACAAACATTTAAGTAATTAATTTAAAGCATTTAAAATCACTTATCGATATCGCACATTATGGAAATGACAGCAGTTGCAGTTGCTCTGCCAATGTTTGTCCTCACACGTTTGGCAAAGAGGGTGTTTTTCCAACTGAATTCAAAATATAAAGTTGGTAATTCTCCTCGTACATATTCCTCCTTTTCTGTCTCAGTCAAACAAAACACTACAATACTTGCTTCGCTAGTGAACCGTACTCTCTTCCCATGGTCTCTTTGGAAACTTTTCAGTCGGGTTGATTTCATGAGTGCATTTATGCACCAGCAGAAACAACTAAGCTTAGCTTCAACAGACCTCGCTCTGTTCCACGCGGAACAGCGTTTACGCTCTCAGCACGAAAGGAAGCATCATGCGTCATGTTTAAACCGATGGCAGTACCAAGTGTAAACGTTTCCATTATAATATCAGAAATCTCCATTTAGAAGGAGATCTTCAAACGAGAACGCAACGTACAATTGACAACATTGTATCCGCCATTTTGCTTCTCCCAGAATTCCACTGCACTCGCAAGTTAATACGAGGAAACCAAATATCATCGGGCGTCCATCTTTGTGCTTCGCGCGAAAACAGAGCAGCAACTCTGCAACCGGATGTGATGTCATAAATCGGCGGATCATAGGGACACGAGCCAAGTACTAGGCGCAATTGGAGTCGTGGGCCCCCCCCCCTGGTCATAACGAAACAATTCAAGATGCTGTAAACTGTAGTTTTCTTTCACTGACTAGTCCCAACAAAAGTTCAATCATTTCCTTTCTCAAAACCTCGTAAATACGACCAACGACCAGTCTTCGGCTACAATTAATACCCAAAAGCATAAATTATATTTGTAATTTTAACACTCTATTTAAAATACTTTATAATAATCCGTAATGGTCTTCTGATCTTAACTAGCTAACTTCATATTTTTTTCCCTTACGCATAGGTATGAATAGAATGAAGGAAAACAGGTCTGGTTTAAAGACGGCTGACTTGAGAAACAATCAAACTGCATGGTGACGGGAAGATATAAATGGATGTCATTTTTAATGACAAATTTAAGACAGAGAAAACTCTAATTAGCCGCAAATGTAATGAACAATATCGCGAGTGGGATAATAAAGTTGCAAAAGTTTGTCGCTGTGTTCAAATTAGTCCCTTAATATCATGGGTGACGAATTACTCCTTAATTTTGGCGCGAAATTTCAGCGTCAATTTGTAATTTCACATGTGAAATTACAAAATTGCCATCGCAACCTTCCGTACGTCTCAGTGTCAAGATGGCGACGAAGTTTTAAAATGTCATGAATGAAGATGTCAGGGCACAAAAAGAAGCTTCAGAAAACCTGAACACACGAAAGAGCACATCAAGAAGGATTCTAACAGGTATTTTGTCGAAAAACTCCGGAACTTAAGCCAAATTTAAGCTCTAAACGTTCGAGAGAGTGCGGGAGTTCTCGATCGATACGATCCAGGATAAACATGTCAAAATCCAAGATTGCTAACGTAATTCGTCACCCATGATATTAATAGGTAATCAAATGGTATACTCGTGAAATTAGGGCATAATTTCACTTGCGTTTTGTCCAAATCCTAATAATTTCTAAAGGATCGGGAAATTATAAGGACAAAACGCGCGTGAAATTATTCCCTAATTTCACTCGTCACCATTTGATTACACATACTTATCATCCAAACTCTGCATTCATGCACAATCCTTTTTACCTTAACTTCTTACTTGTTAACTCACATTCAAAATAGCCTGTTCACAGTCTCCTGTTTTCCCGTAAGATAGTCGTCCAGATCGAGCGCTTTGCGTTACGCCAAGATGGCCGCCCGTACCGATAAGCGTTCCGGATCCTGCCGGTCTGACGAAAAAATAGGGGACTGTGAACAGTCTAAATTCAAACGCCTTCGGTAACTTTTTTGCATTTTTCAGGCGCTCGCGCTACACGCTTCCAAGCTCCAAGATAGTAGATAGAGACCTTTAGATTCGAGGACGAGGGAACGTTTGATAACTTGTTTCTACCTACGACATTCTTGCGAAAACCCCAAGTAGACTGATAATAATAATAATAAAATATAAGAAGGTGCAAGGCCATGAAGGGCCTTGTATACCAATAAAAGGACTTTAAAAGTTATTCTAAACTCAACTGGTAACCAATGAAGATTAATTAAAATAGGAGTTATATGAACATGCCTCGGTGTCAATGTGACAACACGAGCTGCAGCATTCTGAACTGCCTGTAGTCTAGCTAACAGATACTTAGGAAGGCCATGTAATAAGGAATTACAGTGATCAAGTTTCGAACTAATAAATGCATGGACTAAGATTTTACATGTATCTTGGCTTAAGTACTTGCGGATTTTAGCAATATTTCTCAAATGATAGAATGATGATTTACAAATGTTCTTAATGTGCTCCTCAAAACTAAATATGCTATCAAACTGAACCCCTAAATTACGAACAGATCGAGTCACGAGGTGCAATGCACTCAGAACCAACAGTAATGTGACCGATGTCAGGCATAGGATGGAATCTGGAACTGATGACCACAAGGTCCGTTTTGTCCTGGTTTAGTTTAAGATAGTTTCTTATCATCCATTCATCAATGTCCCTAACAACTTCACTTGTTGGATGTCGGCACCATGATAGTCGTTTTCCAACAAAGGGCCCAGAACTGATCCCTGAGGACACCACACTTCAATGCACGTTGTGAAGAATGACACGTTTTCCCGCCAAAATGAAGGTAATATATAATTTCAGCGTCAGCATATAGATGGTAGTTCAAGCGTCCGCAATAGGTGATGTGGGCAAAAAGGGCCCAGAACTTAAAAAACTTCAATGCACGTTGTGAAAATGACTCATCCTCGAAGTTGTTTTCGTCTTCTTTACATGTGCAGAGACGTACCGTGAGACTAATTCGAAAACAGACACGCAGGGACTGGGGAGAGAGGAGGCGGTGGTCCTAAATGCGCCCATAAAAAAACCGCATTGTCTTTCGACTTTGCGATCAAAATCATTAGTAGTATCATCAACATCACCAACACAATCACCTACATTTTCTTTCAGCTTCACTGCTTCTTTTAGATACTTCAAATTTACGAACAGGAATTTTACGTTTTCGTTTTTGTAAGTTTAGTTGTAAAGCGTGAAATTCAGGCTTCAAGATGACTTTACAAACTGCTTAATTAAAACTGGAGTTTACCTACTCCCTCCCCAATCCACCAGTTTTTCTTAAGAATTGTTTTTATGTATACTTCTAATTAAGCTAATTTCCTCAAATTTATATTTGAATTCATGATGAATACAGCTCCACCATCTTCAAACAGCGTCTATGGCAGAGAAAAATGGTTTTGATATAACAAAATTAATTTATCTAAACATGTGTGTCACTGTGGTGCAGTGGTGGGTGTATATATAAATGCAAAATTTGTAATAAATTTACTCTGCATTTGTAAGAAAAATTTCCCCATAAAGTCACTTTGTACATTCTACAATCCGAGAATTTAGCCATTAATTAACGGCTACATATTTTCGTTATCGATACAACTTATTTAGCCATTAAATAACGGCTAAATATTTTCCATGTATATATGATGAAAGTTCAACTTAGCCATTAAATAACGGCTACATATTTTCCGTATAGATACAGCTTAATTTAGCCTTTACATAACGGCTAAATATTTTCCATATATATACAATCTACTTTAGCCATTAAATAATGGCTAAATATATTCTTTATATGAGAGGTTCAATTCAGCCATTAAATAACGGCTAAATATCTACGAACTATATATGGAGGAGGTGCAACTTAGCCTTTAATTACTGGCTAAATATTTTCCATATATATGCAACTTAATTTAGCCATTGAATAAGAGGTTCTGATTTAGCCACTTAATAACGGTTAAATATTTTCCATATATAAGAGAGGTTCAAGTTAACCATTAGACAAGAGTTTCAACCTACAATTTAAAAATGAGTGTACTGAGGCCGTAGGCCGTAATCGAAGCAGCTGAGACGCTGAAGGCTTTTCCATAAGTCAATAAAGTATTTGCTAGTGGACTTGGTTGCTATAATGAGGCGATAACTGAGTTCATTTTCTTGCATGCTTTCATGGTTAGTTCTTTTACTCTATCATCTTTGCTCTTTATCAGGACCAAGTCTGTAGCTATAACACGCTGGCATTCTTAGATCTTGCCATTGTTATGGTGGACTTTTTTAGCTCACCCCAACGACGCATAATTTTTTACAAGAGGGAAGAGTGATCAAATCAAAAATTTGTAGGCTCAGGCCTACAGGTTGATGGGCCCGAGGGGGGCACTTGGGTATTTTTTGGGTGGGTATGTGCCGCCCAGGACTCCAAATTGGCACCCCGTTCTAAAAACAAATTCCCCTAGAATTGATACCCCGTGCTAGAAATGGGCCAATTTTTTATACCCCGTTCTAGAATTCGCCCTAAAACTGATACCCCGTTCTAGAAATGGGCCAATTTTTTATATTCCGTTCTAGAAAGTATGTAAATTGAAATAGCCCTGTTTTTTGTTCGACTTATACATCAAATAAATGCTTCTTCATAATCAGCAACAATTTTAAGCAGAAGATAAAGCCGTGATCCACAATTTTTTTTACCCCGTTCTAGAAAACGCCTCTGAAATGGATACCCCGTTCTAAATCAGGAGCTTCAAAATCACGACCCCGTTATACCCGTATAGGTAATGTATGGGAGTACCCCCCCCCCCGGGTCGATGGGCTGGCTTCGCCCCTGACTTGACGGTACCAGTTTTGTATTGCTAGGTCTCGTGACCCTTATAGAGACGATTTTCTCAAAACTTTGATGAGGGCAGTTGACGTGCGTCGCTTAATTTTCAACGTCTTTGCCTAAGCTCACTAATATACGTACATCTACATTACATCTGGCAGCAGCGTAATGGACAACTGTTTTACCATACTGGTCTTTGTTCTCCAAAAGCTTATCTCCTCCGCTCTGAAACCAAACGAACAATACAATCAGGGACACACGTATCTAAAACCCGCTTTTATCAATCATTCATTGATCAATTCATTCTGTTTTAACGCCGTAAATCCCCCAGTCACGAATCAACGTTCCTTAAAGTACAAAATAGATTGTTGCGAGGAAGGGGTGGGAATACGCAGGGGGAGGGGATAGATACATCCACCAGGGGCGTTCCTAGGCATTTTTTGTTGTAAGCCTTGGTGGAGCATATTGAGGGGAGATACAATATGGGCGCGTTAGCACCCATAAGGAGAGCCCAAGGTGCGACATGCTAGGTGGGTCCGGGGACATGCCCTCCCGGAAAATTCTGAAAATTCAAGTACTCTGAGATGTAGTCTGGTGCCATCTGGACGCTTAATTAATTGGCAAATGCCAGGATTCCATATTGAACAAGAAATAATGGAATATTTAATAAAATGCTGCCAGTTGTGGCTGTGCTCAACTAAAGCAACAACGTAATGACCTGACTAGCGACACATTAGTTGCAAACATATCTGAAATCTTGGTGGAACTCAAAGAAATTCGAAAGCTAGACGTCTGTTCTTTTTGGCGCAAAATTCACGAATCACGGCTTCTACATCAATGGGTATGTCTCTGCAAGCATAAATCAGGGTATGTGCTGCGAGTCACTCTGTTTCCATCGTGGAATGCAAGTACGTCTTCACTCTGCGCATCGTGCTAAAAGATCGTTCCGGGGTGGCAGTTGACACTGGCATTGTCAGGAGAATGGTAATAATTGCGACCGCGTTGGGATAAAGGTCCGGATTAGCATGCTGGAGTGTCTTCGTGGGTGTCACTGGTTTTTTATCAGATTAATGAGACCACTTTGTTTGCCACCTTAAAATTTCATTGTCAAAGTCTCTCTTCTCTGAAAGATCGGTTTTGTAGGTTTCATAAAGCTTATCTTGTACTCCGCTGTTAAAAGAATTCAGCTTTGCTGGAACAATATATTGTCCTATGAAACGATTCTCTTGTCACAGAGGCCTATCATTTAGTTTTTGTACTATGTGATCGACCAAAGGAAAATACACGGCTCCTTGCCAGTACATCTCTTTTCCAAAAAATATATATCATACCATCCGAATCACTTGTGAGCCCGTGCTTATTTGCTCAAAGGCAGGTACGCCCCTGTCCACTATGCACGAAAAAAGGGCCATTTTATGAAAGTGTCTCAACACTTTTGTCCCTCGTGATAGTTGACAGCTGCCATTTCATTCAGTTCAACAAAAGGCTATCCGCCAAGCTCCATTCTAAGGGGAGGGATCTTAAGGGGCGAATTTTTGTCGTAAAATTTCGTTAAGTACTCATGTCCTCTCTAAAAACAAGGAATAAGGAAATTTCCCGTCGTTTTTGTGCAGAGGATGTAAAGAAAATATAATGAAAATCTTGCCATCACTACTGACTGTCCCAAGTTCTCCGAGGATAAAAAAGACACCTGTATGATCTATATTCAGTGGAAGCCGAAAGAGAGGCTTTTATTGGAAGCTAGCTATTGAAAAATCCTTCTATAAATCCATCTTTTTCCATTTTCTTGTTTATGACTTTTAACTTTTTTGTTTTACAGTCTCACCTTTGTCAAAAATAGAAAATGTTTTTATGTTAGGCACACACTTTAATATATATCCATAAACATTATAGTTTTCATACCGCCAGAATCGAGTCCACAGTTTCAATGTCAGCACATGCCACAGCTACATGAAGAACTGTCCGCCAGTTCATATCCGTAAGATTCATCGGAAAACCGCGGGCCAGGAAAAATTTGACCGCGTCCTGCTGGCTCCGCTTGACTGCACACATCAGAGGGGAGGGGGTGCAGGTGTTTGTCGTAGGGTACAGTTGTGCTCCCTAACAGAAGAATCATTGGTGGCTGTTATCAATGCAGAAATCAAAGAGCTCACTATAGTATTTTTCGGGATATTTTTTACCTGGTCAAGAAGGTAGCTAATGACTGGTACATGTCCTCCAAGTGAAGCTCTGAAATGAGAAAATTTAGCACATAAAAATTTGTCCATTCAAATTTTTTCCTTGGAGATGCTAAGAGACTGACCAACAACACACTGGGAATACACCTTTATAACACAAAGAAGATAAAAAAGAGGAATACGCCAAGAAATTCAGTTGGAGAAAACCGTTGCCATTTTAAAAAGTTTTATTTCCTCTTTAAAAATATTCATCCAGCAAGGAGTTTTCCCTTAATTTTCCATGGCGTAAACGGTAATAAAACAGGTCAAACTTTGCCACTTATCATCTTTCATTTCAAGATAGTGACAAAAAGTTCAAGCCTGCATTTGATCAGGTTTTCGCCAATCGACTAACTGGAGTGGAGCTATATCGTGAGAGCCAAAATTTGCCTATACACTGAAAAATTCAAAGATCCAATGAAGGTCACAAGTGTTGGAACCTTTCCAGTGATATTAGTAAAACTAGCGACTCCTCCCCTCACAATCAAACAAAGTTGAATTTTCAGCAAAATGGGTGAAAATGAATCGATTTTTGGCCACAAAATTGCTAGGGGGAGTGGGGGGACGAAAAGATGAAACCAAAGCCGATCCAATTATTGTCATTAGGAGCAGAGTCCTCCGTAACAGTTACCTGGAAGGATTTTTTCGCACAGTCCCAAGTTTCTTTGGCCTCCATTGTTTATCTAAATTAGTCAGTCATCTGAATTTAAAATTCGTTTAAAAAGGTTTTGAATGAAAGCTACCTGAGTAACGGAGTTAATCCATCGCCATCTTCTCTTTCAATCTTTGCTCCGTGGTTTACCAACAGCTTCGTTATCTCCAAGTTACCCTGACTACAGGCAAGATGTAATGGAGTCGAAAGATCTTCCTGAGAAATTGATCAGAAAAAATTGAAACTCTATAAAAATAGTAGGAACTTTTTATACAAATGCTTGCGATAGATCAGTTTTGACCCTTAAAGAGCCCCATCTTCTCATTCATTCGTTCGTTCGTTCGTACTCATTTTTTCGTTCATTCACCCAATTTATTTATTCAAACACGTCTCTGGATCATCTCAAATAACACTAATAATAATAATTTATTTGTGACTTTCCTACCTGTGTAGTGCTTATATCAGCTCCGGCCTCCAGGCACAGTTGTATGATCTACAAAAATACAACAAATAGAGATAATGACGTAGTAAGGAGGTATTCTTCCTTAACATGAAAGGTTCTCTCGTGTAGCATCGTTAAAGTACAAACAGGAAGAAATCAGCAAACAAAACAGAACTGTGCTTTATAGAAAGTGGGTTCAAGATCCTTACTTCAATGCTGTATATATATTTACCCACCCTTTTTTGTGTTTCCACCTAGATGATATGAACTACTATCACAGTTGA